TGATCGGCACCGGCGCCGTACCCACCACCTCCTCCGATTCCCCCACCTCCACCGGACCCTCCACCATGTTCCAACACTCCACCATAGCCACCACCGGCCACCGGACCCCCCGCCGCTCCCTCTGCCATAGCCAGAGCCATGGTCACCAACATTAACACCATTTTGCCCTCCAGAAGCTCCATATCCTCCGCCGGAGCCGCCGCCACCCCCACCTCCACCAACAATTCCGCTGCCGGCACCGTGACCATTGCCAATACCATGGCCGGGGCCGTAAGGTAGTCCCTCCGGTGTAAAGAGAATCCTAGCTGCTGAAGAGCAGGCAACCGCACCAATGAACAGTAGTAAAACAACAACAAGAACCCTAGAAGGCGCCATGAGAAAGAGTTTGTGGATGCTGTTGAGCTTGTGCTGCGTTGAGCTGGGTAATTATAGAGTTGGGAGCCGCTTAGTGGAGGCCTAAAGGTGGAGAAGTGAGCTTTACTGCTTGAATTTTATTAATGGGAGGGGTTAGGCATGGTGCAGAAGCACATGCGAGCAAGGTCTATGTAAAACTTTTGATTTGACATATTATTATTATTATTATAGTAGTTACTGCTGCCTTTTTTTTCATAGAAAATTCATTAGATAAAATGATATCATTTAAACTAATTATAATTTAATTTTTTTCCTATTTTTAAAATTAAATTTAGATTTACCTTTTACATAGTATAAAAATTGTGTCTGGGAAATAGTTTTATAATTTAATTTTTTTCCTATTTTTAAAATTAAATTAAGATTTACCTTTTACATAGATAGTATAAAAAGTGTGGCTGGAAAATAGTTTAAAGAAATTTGAACAGCTAGGAAAAATAGAAAAGCAGAAACTGCTCGATATCAATTATTAATTAGCCAAAAATGAAGATTAATTAGGAGCTTCTAATTGTCGGACAAACATAAAATTAAATAAAAAATTTTAGGATGCACTGATATAAAATGTAATAGGGAGTAAAGTTGTATGATAAAAGTAAAGTTATATTCATTATGAATCATATAAATCAAAATAATTGAAAGAAAATTAGCTAAGCCTTTCCTAGACTCACCGGTCACTCAATATGAGAGAAGGAGATATTGCAATGAGTTTAAGGCTTGGATCCTGCAAAGAGAATGGCAAACCAATCTAAGAAGGGAAATTACTTTTGGGACTATTTGTTGAAGTCTATATGTCCGGATGTCCGCACGTAATAATTTTTTCCTTAATTTAGAGATAATGGGAGAGAATGATTCGAGTTCTTCATGCCTGATCATAAAGATATTTCTCTTACGTGAAATTTTTTATGCATTGCATAAACCCATCTTATAAGTATCCACCAAGATCAACAACACATAATGCATAGGCTACATGCATGGCACACTTGGCTGTCAAGTATTAATCTCGCGCATGTTGTGAGTGCCTTGAATGAATAAAGCTTGCATGAGTTAACCAAGAGTATTCACCGAAGAGTATTACTAAGTTAAATTTATTTCCATTTATCATTAGATGTCTACGAAACTCTTAGTATTGAATCTTCAACTTCGGTAGCAGGCTTCTTAAATCTAACTCAACTTCACTTTTTTGACTTGATGCACCATATCAAAAAGGTTATGGGTGTATAATGAAATTTTGAACAGAAATACAGAATAAAAATATAAAGTTTTCTTGTAGTTTACACCGACAAAATTCATACTTTAAAACAAACATCTTTAGTTCATGTGAAGATTTCCACCTTTCCTTGAAAATATTACGGCATTTTAAGAAGATTGAATGTTGTGTGGAGAAATTTTGTTTGCTTATCTTACATGTATTTAAATAAAATTTTATACTCCAGATGTTTGGATGACGGTATGAATTGCACAATACTACTAACGGGTGGTGAGATTCACATAATTGTCCGGACCTAATATTTTCCTGAGATTAACACATGTTCAAGTTTAACACTAATATTTCATGTTAGAAAACATTACGTACTTGCATCAATGTTAAAAAATATATTAATTATTTTGCAATGGTAAGAAAATATATCACTCCGAATTAGGGTCGTCAATACGGCTCGTTGTTCGCAAACAGCTCGTGTTCGACTCGTCAAGTGTTTGGCTCGTTCGTTAAGTTAATGAGCCAAACACGAATAACACGAACAAAGATTTGTTTGTTCGTGTTCGACTCATTTTGGCTCAAAATACTACTAATCAATTATTTATAGATATATATATATATATATATACA